AATTTTTTTTTTTTTTTTTTTTTTTTTTCTTTTTTTGTCTTTTTCCGTGTCCGGCCACGGATCGCAACCCTCAGTGTTGCCCCCGTACCGGACCGGGGACCGGCAACGGGATCGCAACCCTTGGTGTCGCTCCTGCGCCTCGCTCAGCCAGTGAGTGGGAACCGGTCTGTATGTGGGATCCGAACCCTCCAGCGGGAGCGCCGCCGCGCTTCCCAAGCGGCGCACCATCCAGTGCACCACCGGGCCGGCCCAGACTCCACAATTTTTATCTGAACACTTGCTACGGATCACACGTGATCCAACAAATTCTCACTCTCCCCAAGAACACACAGAGAAGAAATCAGGAGACAGTGTTTGGACCTGGGTCCTCGTCTAATCCCACATCTTTTCTATACTGTGGTCAGCACAGCAGTTAGCACTCATACCTCTGGATAAGGAAAAGAACCCACCAGCAAAAATAGCAAGCTGTACACGAAGCACCCTGCAGGCTCGCTCTCTGTCATATCACAAGGTATGTACCACTGGAAAACAGGCGCGGGCAGAAGATCATGCCAACCTGACCACTCTCGGTATCCTGAGCCAACCCCTGGGATTCAGGGAAGTGTGGAAAGGGACCAGGATGTGCTCAGAGGCCATGGGAATGAGGGGTGGGACAGGAAGTTCAGGGTCCAGACAAGGCCACTGGCAAAGTTCCTAGGGAGGAGGACACATGCTAAGGAGAGTCAGAAGATAGGAAGACCGATGCTGGGCTATCAGCAGCATCACACTGGGGACCTGCAGCTGCAGAGAGAATAGAAAGTGAGGCCTTATGGAGGGACTTCCAAACTTGCCCCTGGCCCAAAGAGTACCTCTCCCTTGAGTCCCTTGACTGCTGTCTGCCAGCATGAATTGCTGAGTCTATGATGTGATGGGTATTCTTGAGAGTTGTGAAGTGTCCAACCTGTACAAGTGTACATGGCTACCCGGAGCAGTCAAACCACTTGGGTAACCTCTATAGAGGCTGACGCAGTTCAATTCTGGAAGGGGAAAAGGGCAGAAAGCTAAGTGATCTACACATGCAGATTTGGTTAAGGTTAGATCACAGGCCCTAAAGGCCAGCCAAATGTGGCCAAGTTGTGGACGGAAATGTCGAGGCTGTGTGATGTAAGCACAGTGTGGCAGGTGAGAAGACTGAGAAAAAGGACTCTAGCTGAGAAGCTATGGATCAGGCCTGTGGGACCTGAGGACACCCACTTCCCTTCACCAAGACTCAGTTTTTCCATTTGTATAAAAACAAGAGAGAAAAGATGATCTCTAGCTCTGATGGGCAACTAGTGTAGTATTTCATTTTCTGGACAAACAAAACAAGAAAGGTTTTTATTTCATCTTTTTCTTAAAATTATTAACCTTGATCTTTCCAAAGGTTTTAATGAATTTCTTCCTACAGCTGGCTCTAATGCCAGGAGGCTTCTGATGACTTTCAGGACTGTCTCAGAGTACCAATTCAACACAGAAGATTTCTGCGTCAAACACTCCTCCTTTGTCACAAGGACAAAGTTTGGGGAGAGCTGTGGTGATGCTTCAAGGCCTATCCCAAAAGGAAAGGGGTTAGCTAGGTAGCTGCTTGAGTGAATTTGATCATAAAGTGAAAAAAGGTCAAAAGGGCAAGTGCAAGGGTCATGTCTTTTTTATTAGCTCTACGCGGTCTCGCTTACCCTTACCTGCCCTCATACCACAAGGGCTGCTCTTTGAGATGGGCACTGTAAAGAAGGGACCTGTTTCCTTCTCACACTGTTCCTCGAGGGCTGGGAGTGGGTCAGACTCACCTTTTAAGACCCAGCACCAGGCACGGCAAACAGTAGGTGCTCAGGGATTTGGGTGTTCAGAACTGACCTGTACAGAAGCTGATGCAAAGCTCAATTCCGGAAGAAGAAAAGGGCAGAAGGCCAAGTGATCTACGCACGCAGATTTGATCATGGTTAGACCACAGGCTTTTAAGGCCAGCTAGATGTGGCCAAGTTGTGGATGGAAATGTCAAGGCTGTATGATGTAAGCACAGTGTGGCAGGTGAGTCTGTGTGTGAAAAAGTGTACAACAGTGCATTACAAGGAAATCATTTAGATGCTCTGACACTGGTTATCTAAGAGGAAAGCTTGAGAAAGTTCAAACTCCTCATGTTAAAGGGGAAGAAACTGAGGTCCAAAAAGGAGAAGGGACTTACTCCTACCATGGGGCCATTTTTCAGCAGGGTCAAGACCAGAACCCAGGTGTTCTGAGCCCCAGGTAGTGCTCCTACCACTCCACCAGCCTGCCCGCCTTGCTGACAACAGTGGTCATGTCCCCAAGGCCAACCAAATGCTGCAAATAACTTTGCTGAGCCTCAAGGCAGAATCCTATAAATTTTACTCTGCTGGTTTTATTAGCTCACGGAGATCCTCCTGAATCCTGATTTGGTTACCCATCATATCAGCTAACAGTCTCAACCCCAGCGCCATCCTGCAAACATGAACAGCAAGGCTCTCTCTTTAGTCAAGTCACTGACAAAGGCTTTGAACTTAACACACCACCAGTACATGAACCTCCTGTTGGCTGGTTTTCCCTTCGAATCTTAAGCAGCTATTCTGTGCAAAGCTCTGTGCTAACCGCTAGGGGGAAACAAAGTTAAACAGCCGTACACAAACATCTGCAAAACACTGGGTGGTTTCCACACTGATTTCAATGGTGTCACCCCACTTGCTGCTCATGATATCCCAGTAAAGGCAATGCTTTTATCCCCATTAAACAGATAAGGATACTGACATTCAAAGAAGAAACTTGCCACCATTGCTCAGTTGCTATTTTGGAGCCTAGACTGTGACCACAGTCCCTACTCTTAATCTACACACTATACTACATGCCCCAAGCTCCTGAGTAATACATTTTTCTATTCGTGGGGAAGCAAAACGTGCAAAAGCTAATTAAAGCAGAAAGAAAACAGTGCTTATGTGGGAAATTCCTTGTCTTTTACGCTCCATGCTTTCTTCTGGCTGATAACATTTTATGTTTTGCAACAGAAAGAGAGCATACCCCAGATTCCCAATATGTGATGTTTCAAGCTGTCAAGTTGTTTTATTGGCAAAGTCCTTTACTTGCTATTCATCCAACTCCAACTCGAACTTAGAGACTCCTCTCAGGGGTCATTCCTAGGATGTTTCCAGCCTCCCCACTCTCCCCTAAGCAGGATGGATGCACCCTCTGTGCTCATCCCCAGCTCCACCAGGTCCACGTCTGCCTCCCTGCCAGGCTGTAGACTCCCTGGGGAGAGAAGTCTGCTTTATCTGTGCACCCTGAGGCTGGTGCAGAAACTGCCCATGGCAGAGGCTCAGAGAACATTATGGAACAAATACATATTTTCAAAAACTTTATTCTTCAAGCCTCATAAACTCTTGACAGGCCACCAGCAATTTCCCACCATGACATCTTTTCAGCTACTTTACCTATAGGTCCTCTTACTTTTTATATAATAATAAAACGTGCTTTTGGTTAGCTGATCACTGGTAGGACTTGTCTTCACGTTAGATATCCCTCTTGGGACAATTTAGCAAAATACATCAGATAAAATATAGGCATATCTTTTGATCCAGTAGTTTCATATCTAAGAATTAATCTTATTACATTATTATTAATCTTATCATTATTACAGAAATATGCGCACGTGTGCGTATATATATGTCTATAATACATGTATTTACTGAGGGAGAAGGAATAAAGAGCTTGTACTTGAAACTGCTCGCCTGATGGGCCATGATTTTATTAGCATGACTATAATGCTAATATTTTCAATGAAGCCAGTTTACACTTTTTAGGTGCTAATAACTTTCTTTAGGCCTCAGTCTATCAGTCCTTTGCAGAGGAAAACCTGACTATGGATGCTTGGAATAGGATTTTTTATTTGATTCTTAAACTTTACTCTAAATAGAGTCTTATTGTTTACAATAGGCAATTCTTCAGACAGCTCTCTCTGGGCAGACACGAGTTAATGCTTGCTGCATGCCACCCACTATTCTAAGAGCTTTAAATAGAGTAACTCATTTTGTCTTCACTGCAACCCTATGAAGTAGATACTGTTATTATTCCCACTTGACAGGTAGGGAGGCTGAGGCCCAGAGAGGTTCAAGGTCATGTAGGTGTAAATGGAAGAGCCAAGACCCAGGTAATATAGCTTCAAGTCTGTGTTCTCACTGACTCAGGCAGTGATGGTCCAACTATAAAAAATTTTTAGTTAATAGATCACCCTCATCCGTATTATTTAACTTGAACCCAGTAGCCATACTGTGAGTGGTCATAATCACTACCGTCACCTCCATTTTACAGATGAAAACACCAAGATTCAGTGAGGTAATACCACATAACTGGCAAGCAGAGAAGCCAGGAATTAAATCATGTGACTGCATCCATTCTAGTGCTCCTGCCTCTCAACCCGACCATGCAGTCAGTCCAAGGGTAACAGGTTAACCCGGAAGCTCTAGCTATGAAGGCCAAGCTCGCTCTGAGATGGGGGAATGCTCAGACTCCTCGGCTGATCAGCCTGGCAGAGAGGGAGTCTACATGGTCTAGAGATCAGTAAGAATACAAGCTGACGGGTGACCCTGCATTCTCCGTATGGATGCGACACAGTTCGGTCTGTTCCAGATGTTCTGCAGGGAAAGGGGAACTTTCAAATCCACCCAGGCCCATCACTGTGCAGCCTCTTTGAGTCTCCTCAAAGGGGAAGGGGAGAGGCAGGTGAGATGGAGAGACTGACACTGGGTCTCGTCTCCCAAGGGAGTAGGCTCACTGCATGTTCAAAGTTGTGCGGTCATCTCTGATGCCCTCGGTTCTCCACTTCCTGGTTCCATGCAGGTGGGCAGGGAAGCTGCAGGCGCACCACCTTGCTCTTCATCTCTCTCATTTCTGTTCTCTGCTGCTGCGGGGGTAGGCAGACTTAGGGCCACCTCAGCAGCACCTGTCTGCCTTCTTCTTTTATCTTGCTTCTTCTAAGACCAGAGCAGGATGAAGAGTTCAGCCAGCGCCTGCTCTGGGACTTGCCCATCTCCCTCCCATAACTGCTGACCAAGCAGTCAGTCCAAGGGTAACAGGTTAAGATGGTTTGGGGCGTACGGGAAGGTAGAGGGGATTTCTTAAGTCTCGAGCTACCATTCAGCTCTGCATGAGTGCTATGTTGGAACCCACCCAACTAACCATCTATAAAGTGATACTGTCTCCCATCTGCTATGCACTCTTCTTACTGTGCATTCCCTGCAACTACCACAGGACCTGACAGGGACTGTATGCTCAATAAAGTTTTGCTGATTGAATGAGTGGATTTCTACTCTAGCTTAAACTAGCCTTGATGGAAAATTCCATCTGGACATTTCATCCAGTATGGTTGCCACTAAACTGAGATGTGCTGTAAGTGTAAAGTCTGGTTTTCAAAGACTTAGTATGAAAAAAAGGGAATGTAAAATATCTCATTAGTAATTTTTAACACTGATTACATGTTAAAATGATTCTACTTTGGATATACTGGGTTAAGGAAAATATTAAAAATTAATCTTGCCTGTTTCATTTTAACCTTTTTAATGTGGGTACTAGAAAAGTTAGCATTATATATGTGGCTCACGTTATAATTCTACTGAACAGAACTAATATAGACCATTATATAACCCATTAGCTATACTGTAACTCTAGAGATAAATTCCTAAGACACGAGCAGTGTTTCAGGGTGGCATGAAGCAAGCAGTAGGAGTGACTTCCAGCAAATTCCTTAACCTAGCTAGGTCTCAGTTTCCATGTTTATAAGAGATGATTGGTAGAAATATTTGCCCCACTGGGGTTTGTATGGAAATCAAATCCAAATACCTGAGCAAAGGCTCTGGAAAATGCAATGTACAGTATCTGCTGTTTTATGGGCTTCCTTGGGAGTAAACTCCACACCACAGCTCACCCACTCCTTTCCCCTTAACCACCTTCCTTAATCCAACAATCCCAAGTTGGAGGAGAATGTAAGTGAGGGTGAAAGTGGGACTATCCGGACAGCCAGAGATATGCTACCCAACAGGATTCCTGGGGAAGAGGGACTCAGTCAAACAGAAGAAGCAAGTGACTTTCTCAATACACTGGTCAGAACAATCTATCCATCTGTGAAACGCCCCCTTTGTGACTTACATTGTACAGCATAGGATGCTAGAACCACTGCTGAGTTAAGAGGGCAGGTTAACCTGTCAGGAGAAAAACACATTAGCAAAGTCACAAGAACCAATTACAACCCCAAACACTCAGAGATCATTGGTAGCACGTTACCTCCTTCTCTTAGATTAACCATTAAAAAACAACATAAATCATAATAAAGATAACTCTATGACAGAAATCAATCTCAAACAGTAAAGACAAATATATAACATATGAAGGATTTTTAAAAACAAAAAAAACTTTCTCATGTTTAAAATAATACACGTTGCAAACACCATGAAGCTAAAGGTCTAATGTTGGCCAGTGTTTTGGCTGGTCAAGGAAGGTCAGGCTCATATCTCAAAGAGGAAAAGTGAGAAAACTGTGCTCTTAGATCAATGGGCAGCCTTCATATCTTTCTAGTAAAGACTTGAGTCTTTTTGTAGGGCTCTCTAACTAAATTGCTGAGTTCTAGTGACTCCATGATTCTTGGTTACCCTCTTTCTAGAATGCTGACATCCTCTTTGAAGGAAAAAGTAGGAAAGTATTTTGAATCTTAAAACGTATAATTCTTTGATTAATTAATTACAGACACTTAATATTCCTGCCTCTATTCACTCCCCCGAAGATCTACAGCATTCAGTGGTCTGCCTCTCTGTCTTCCTGCCATCTGCTAGAAATCTCCTTTCCTCTTACACTCCCTGCCCCAAATGCCCCATTTCTGCCAATGACCCCTCTTCTGTCTTAGTCACATTTTGAATCCTCAGTTTGCCCTATTTTCTCCATTCAACTGCAGACTCCTCGGTCTGCCTGGGCACTCTGCTGGCAGAGCTGGAGCAGGGATCACTGCCAGGTTGAAGAAGGGACAGGGAAAAGCAGGAGGAGGACTTGCAGGGTGGGGAGGGGTCTGATAAAGGGGGTATCCTAAACAGCGCTGCAAGATACCAAGATTTCAAAAGCATGCTTCCTAGCAACCCAGAGGGAAGTAGAGAAAACATGCAGTTTCCATGGCAGCCAAAGAAGTTCCCAAGATGTGACTCATCCCACCTCTCTGACTAATCTGGTTGGCCCTCGAGGGGCTCCTCTTCCTGTCCACCCCACTGCATGCTGGTCTTGAAGCTTCATACGCAGACAACTTTCCCTATGTGAGTGGCCCCATCTTTCCTTGGGTAACTCTGTGTTCCTGCTAGAATTCTTAAATAATCTCTCCAAGTCTACAGATGCATCCTGAGGATACTTACCATCCATTCATTCATCTGGAGATCCAGAGAGCCCATGGAGAGAGCAGGCTGAAATGAGATGAGGATCAGCCATTCGCTCTCCTACCAAGATGGGCTTCAATTAAATCTAAGCCAGTGTCCCTGCTAGAGAAAAAGCAAGGGAATGGGATTTGAGGAACAACTTAGAAAAGAGCCTAAGGAGGTTCAGTCTAGATGCAAGAAACAATCCAACGAAGAAGTCAAGAACACTTCCAAAGGATGGTGTTCAAAATACATACTAAAGAACACTGAAAGCCTGCATTCCTCTCGCAACCCGGCCACGTGTTCTTAGAAGAAAGACCTCTTTCCTTCTCTCTCAGGGTCTGCATCAGTTGAGTGAAGGGCTTTGAATGATCACCTATCTTGGCAGGAAGGAGATGGTAGCCTTGAGTACTGGCTACCACAGACAGTTTAAACAAGTCAGGGATGCTTTGACACCCAGGAGAAATTGTCTGATTCACACCTGAGCAGTGTTTGGTAGTACAGACCCTCTCCTCAGACCCAAGGATCTAAGCCAGGATGCGGCCCTCCACAGACTTCTCTCGGTTCACACAGAAATAACAAGGGCTATTTCTTTGGAGAAGAACAAACAAAGAAGACAACCAATTTCCAGTATTTGGAGAGTTAGACTGAAAGCTCCTGAGGGTCCTTTGTCTTACTGACCTGCACAGTTCAGTGCCTGTCCCATAACAGGTGTTTGCAAAGTGTTTGTGGAAAAAAACAAAGTAAGTGGGTAGAAGAGAACGGCAGAACAAGTTTCTATTGCTGCAGAGAGCAGCCCAGATCCAGGAGAGGGGCGGGGAATTTCAACCTCAAGTCACCCTAAAACGTAAGAAGGCTGCCTATGAAAGCATGTGATCAGAGGGTGATCAAGCAGAAGCCAAAGGCCTGCAGGCTGTGCTCGAGAAGGGATTCGTTCCTGCCTTGAGTGGGAGGATGAACTGAATTATGAGAATTCTATACTTGTATGGCTGCTAAACAGTCAACAGGTCTGGCAATCCCTTTGTTAAGGTGTCTCTTGTTCCTAACTGTCCACCCCCCCATCCCCCAGTCTTCACCGCCATGGCCCCAAATCTCTGGCCTAGACGTCTGCAACAGCTTCCTGGATGGCTGGCCCCACCCTTCTATCTAGACTGAATCCCCTTGGCCTCTTACAGTCTTCCCTGTGTACACTGTCTTTGTAGATACAGCTCTCGCCACATCCCTCCTGCTGACAAACTGCCAGCAGCTCTCTTCTGCCCGCTGGATGCAAGATGCATGCCTATGTTTGACGTGAAAAGCCCTCTCGCTCTATTTTCCTGTAAGCTCTAAACATGTGGTTTCCAGTTGGGGCTGTGGGAGGTGGGGTGGGGTGTCTTCTCACTGTCCTAGGAAAACCAACTCCTCACTTCTCCACCATCCCCAATTCCGGCTCATCTCAGCAATCCAAAAAGACTTTTCTAGCCCACACTGTTCACAGAAGAAGCTCCTCAAATCTTACAACTGTGATCTCCACTGCCCTGACTGGTCCTAACTGCTTCCTAATTGCTTCATGGGCTCCTGTCTCATTTCCCCAACCAGAGTGCAAGCTCATGGGACAACACATTGGCGCCCTCTGTAGACCCTCCTCAGGAGAACTAAACTCACAGGAAGAAAGAGAGCAGGTGTGGAGAAGGGGAATGAGATGTGGCTGTTGCCACCCCAGCTCACCTGCTGCAGTTTCTTCCATAAGTCAACAAAATACTAAGATGTGGAGGAGTCACTGCTCAGGGATCACTGACTTGAAATTTCCTCTCCCTGCCTGGGCTATTCTCAGATGCCTTCCAGCCATTTAGATGGTCTTGATACATAAGAAGAGCTGAATCCCAGGCAGATGCTCATGTCTTTGAGCAAAAAGCTTCCCAGAGAGAAAATGAATCGTCCATAGGTAGTACGGGGCTCACAAGTGGACCTAAATTAGGCCTGAGCTGCCTTCCTGAATGAAGCCCATTTTACATTCTGCGTCCCTTCCTCCATTTAAAACTTCTCAGGTCTTTACCAGAAAGATAACTGTACCTTTTATAACAAAATTGAAAAAAAAAAATGAAGTGAAGTTTATCAACCCTTAGTCTCTCTAAACCAGGACTGAGTTAAAAACACATGTCCAAAGTCTAATACACCATGCAGGATGCTGCTTTCAACATCCATTACTTGTTTAGATTTCATATTTTTAGCAGATAAGCACACTCATTAGATTAAGACCAGAAATTTTGTTAGTCTGACAAGAAAAGAAAAATGCAAAATTCTCATTACCTTCCTTCACAAATATCCATCTTCAGTTGTAAGAAATACAAATGCCTATGAAACAATTATTTTCATTAATTCATACTCAAACTGAAATAAGCAAAAAAAAAATATTTTGATGAGTCAAGGACAAGATCTTTACATAAACAAAATACATACAAATACATCTTGGTCTAAGGTAGGAGGTACTATTTTGCACATTGCAAAGCTGCCCTGTCAGTGAGGATGACTTGTCTTGGTGCCCTAAATGGCCACTGTCCTAGGGAGCATTGAGCAGGGCTGGGTAGGGTGGAAGCAGCCCACCAATGATTGGCTGGTACCGCTGGTCCCTCGGCCAGTGAGTGCCCCAGTCCTGAGCCAGGGCCACGTCAATGAGCACCAGGACCCATGAGCAATCTGCATAAGCAGTCCCCACACCCTGACAGGCCGCTGTTCTGCACACGTGCTGGCATGCGCACACCCACGTTCCCTCTATGTGAAGTTGCTAGGAGGAGGAGGGTCTGGGAAGATACCTCCTTGGCTGGGGTGCAAACACCAAGCAGGGTTTTTCCCCATGTCCCAGGAACTGTGGGCACTCAGGCAAATGCAGCAACATCATTAAACTAGAAGTGCCCAGGACCTCCATGCTGAATTCTGCATTCATCCACGAGCAACCAGCAAATGTAACTTGGAAACCCCGTACCTGTTTTATGGGAAAGGTGTCCCAGACCCCTCAGCTTGGGAGTCTGCTCCTCTGTGCGAGGAGTTGGGACAGGAGGCCAGGAAGTGCCCTGGGGAGGGTTATATTTAGGGATGTGGCATGCATGTGACACTTGGCCACTATTTCTCACTCTTTGTAAAAACCCAGATTCAAACGACAGGCATTCCATCATCTGGCCAAGAGGACAAAAGAGAAACCTCTTGAAATCTAAAACACACAGGCCAGAAGTGTTCAGGGGCAGGAGAGAGAGAGTTTTGGCAATTTAGACAAAGCAGTCTCGTTATTTCTTCAGATATATAAAGGTCAAGGGGCTGGCTTCTTGAGATGTGAATACTTCAAACAATATCACCACCTGAGATCTGCACAGTCCCGGCTGTGTGTGTGATACTTTGGAACTCTTCCTCTCACTTCAGCCTCACGATAACTCTGTAAGGCAGGTATCCCATTTGCATTTTTTACGGATGAGGAAATCGAAGCACAGATAGAATATATGGGGTCAGTTGTGTCTTATTTTAACCTGGACACTCATGTTATGAAAAAAAAAATCTCACTATGATACAAATTTCTCATAAGTTTTATGACTTAAAAGTTTAGGTTATATGTCATAACTCTGACATTATGACTTTGATTATAATTATCAACTACCCACAATGTGTTGAACACCCAGTACTGGGAGATGGTATAACACATATCTGCTGATTCACACCTGTTTGGTATTGGAATCTATCTTTTCCACCTAGGAGAACATAATCAGTCCTTTCTAGTTCGTTTCTATGTTTATTCAAGCTGACATTCAACCAGAATTAAGTGTTCTGTCCTCCTACAATGCTACTGAGAGAGAGAAGGAGAGATTTGTAGCTAATCTAATGATGAATCTGGGCTTTCACTGACAAGCTCGGCTAATCAGTATATCTTCCTAGGGATATAAACGAGAATATGAACCTGGAGATCACCATTCACCAAATGCTACCTTGTCATATACTGAGCAAAGTTTCTGAGTCAATCCCACAACACCATATGCAAAAAAATCGGAATGGTGAGATGCAATCCAAATGTAGGAGACTTCCTGGGAATCTGAAGAAGACTAATTTTAATTTGAGATTGCCAGTAAATAAAATTCTGTTCACAATGATCTAAATGTATCAGTAGTTGTGGAGGCTCACAATAAAGATGACATTTATTAAACAATTGGAATAAAGGAAAGTTATTTAGAAGAGATATTTGGCATATTTAACTTCAGAAATGTAATGACTACTCTTAGTGTGAACCCCATCCATGAACTCACCTTCAGAAAAAAGCAATGAACGTCTCCCTGCCTAGATCCTTAAAAAACAAAGAACAACAAATACTGCCTCTACACTTCTTATTTGATTCTTGAAAGCTAAATTTCTTTAAAAGAGAACTCACTTTTAGACAGGTTACGAAGCTGGGCCTTAATAAAAAAAACTGCTATTCCAGGAAGCCCTTCACTTAAGTTAAAACAAAACCAAACCGAAAAAAGCATGTGAATGAATGGTGGAAGCCCGGCCCAGGATAAGAAAAAGATCTGGCAGTCCTGGCTGCCCACCAGCTCTGAAGGAGTCACAGGGTGGCTGCTGCCATGGCTCCTGCTACATTAAGAGAAATCTGGTGCTCAAATCCCAGGAGGTGACAGCTATTCTTTATTCCACGCTGGGGATACTACCCACCTTAAAATGGGAGGTGGGGCAGTGGGGGTGGGGGGTGTCAGTTCTGAACCAGTGAAATTTAGTAGAGACACAGACAAACTGAATTTTTTCTGGGACTTAGGTAAGAACAAATACTAGTCTATTACTCATCTTAAGCTAAAATGTGCCTCTGTAGCCTCCACCCACTGGCTAAGAACCAGTACCAATTCTAGGACCCTGCACATTTAATTCCATTTTTTACATGACCCTTTGGAAATTAGAAGGCAGCCTTCATTTCACCCTGAGTCTTCTCTCCATCCTGAAAACCCTATATTTCCTCAAATGTCCTGCAAAATGACAGGAAGGCTCAGCAGGAAGACTCTGTCAGCTTCCAGAGAGGATGAGCTTCTCCCCTGTAGGTATGAAAGTGAATGACCAATGACCAAGAAGGGCACTGGAGAGGGACTCTCAGGTAAGGCTGGTCCTAGTAATCCCTTCCCCTCAAGTTCTGTCATTGGAGAGCTCTAACATGCCCACTGAGTGCCACAAACCTGGGGCTCCAGCATCACAGAGAGGAGACCAGGTGATGGGTGACAATCACCAGTTTAGGCAGTGTAATCCATACTATGGGTTGAAACCTATCAGCTGGTAATACAATAAATTTAATGGGTCACAATTATCATTAAAAAAAAAAAAAAGAAAAGAAAAGAAATAGAACAGAATAGAAAACTTCAGAGTGCTTTGCACTTACTATAGTTTTATAAAACTTTCGCTTCAGTAATTTATATATATATGTGTGTACTGCATTAAGAAACAAAACATATTTTTTACCATGGAGTTGCAATTTATTTATTTATTTATTTTTTGTCCTTTTTGTGACCGCACCGCAGTTAGCCAGTGAGCGCACTGGCCATCCCTATATAGGATCCGAACCCACGGTGGGAGTGCTGCTGCGCTCCCAGCGCCGCACTCTCCCGAGTGCGCCACAGGCTCAGCCCATGGAGTTGTAATTAAAAAAAAAAAAAAAAAACCCCACCAGTTAGGAATCACACACATGGATGTACCCACATATATACATACATATATAATCACACATACTATATATATGTAATACATGCACATATACACACACACACACAATTCTGTATGTCATTTTTAAAGGATTCCTTGAACAGAACTTGTTAGTAATGCCTGAGGAAACCTTGGAAGGATCATTTCAAACACATTCTTATAGATTATCTTACCAATTTTGTGTCTATCAGCTTATGAAATGACCTGCTGGGTTGAGTATTTCTTTTTAAAAAGGGACCGGCAACGGGATTGCAAACCTCGGCGTTGCTCCCGCGCCTCGCTCAGCCAGTGAGCGGGAGCCGGTCCATATGTGGGATCCGAACCCTCGGGCGGGAGCGCCACCGCGCTTCCCAAGCGGCGCACTACCCAGTGCGCCACCGGGCCGGCCCCTGGGTTGAGTATTTCTATACTACCCCGTCTACCAGTGGAAAGCACTGTTGTGGGAAAAAGTCACAGCACAGTTTGTACTTCTGCGTGGTTACCCAATGAGTCACACTGGACATCTCCTACGCTGGCTTAAAATTTAACATAATGGTAAACAGTCAAATCCCCAATGTCTGCTATCGTAGAGGCAAGGGGCCCACAAAGGCAGCAAAACAGAGTAACAGACTAATATTTGGCCTTTAAACATATTTAAAAGTTAAAATGTGATCATGTGATTAGTATTAAAAATAAATGAAAAAACAAGACAGCACTCCATGTCTGAGTTAATGTTGTCTCCCTGGTGACAGTTTTATGGCCATAATGAGTGTAGAACAGGATTCTAAAATCCTAAACATCCATTGCTTTCTTTCTGGTGAAAAAGTTTCCCTCCCTAAGAAAAATAAAAGGGTTTAACATTGCCGTGGGGGAGGGAAAGCTGAATTTGCACGGTCTGTACTGAAACAGCAAGAACTTTCCTTTGCTGCTTCTCCTCTATTCCAAACACACCGTTCCCCACCCACAAACCCCCCCCCCCTCCCGCCCCAAACCAGGGCCAGTACACACGCCAAACCCTGAGGGGTAAACAACTCCTATCACAGCCCTTTTCTCTTATCTGGTTCACATATTTCTTGCATCTATTAATTCACTGAGGAGACAAGCTGGGTCCAGACTGCAAACTGGGGATCTGATGGAAAATTCTTATTACAAAGATGTTGTCTTATCCTCAAGAGCCTCAATTCTAGTTCTTCAGAAGTATCGTACTATTTGACCCGTCTGTTTCACAAATCTGTTGTCTAAACCCCACCTGCATTTGCAGAAAATGGCTTTTTGTCCTTCAACCTTATTGTGTTTATCAGGTAGGAGAGGCTGGGGAGGAGGAAGGAGGTGCCCGAGGAAGGAGGAAGTGGATGTACATGTGCTGGGAATTGCATCAAACCAGAAGGTAACAGAAGTAGGGCCAAGACTGCAAACTAGCCAATTCAAATTTCATTATGAGTACGGATTTTTACTTGGGTCATAATTGTTGGTGCAGTGTACACCCAAATGAAGTTATCTGGCCATGGTTATAAAATGAAGAGTACATTTTTAGTGGTTACTCATTTTTATATACTAAATAGAAAACTTAAAAAAAAATGTTATTACCTGGTTTGTTCTTGCTGCAGTGTGTTGGGATCAGGTATAAAAAATCTTACTCGAAAATGCAGGGTACAGGGGAAACCTCCTACAACATTTTTCAAAAACAAATTAAATTTTCCCTTTAAAAAAGTCAATGTATGTAAGTTGCTACTCTCCCATAATTGATGCAGTTTTCACTCAACCATAGTTTTTTTCCATTATAAAAGGGCTAATTTCAAATTAGGAGTACATAAGTTGATTGTCTCAGAAATCTCCTAGTCTATAAAATATAAAATATTTATGCAACATCAACATAGACAGAGTTACATGTTTAACTTAGGGCTGTGTTCAAACAATGCACTCCATTATCTGTATTAGGATCTTAAAAATTCTTTAATCAGTGTATTATACAAAATTCACACAAAAAATAATAGCTTACATTTATATAGCGATTTATACTTTTCAAACATTTTCATGTACATTCTTGAATTTGAACATCACCATGACTATGAGTAGGCTAGGCTGCTATTGATAGCCCTGTTTTACAGATAAGCCAACAGGCTGAGAGATCTAAGTGACTTGCCTTAGGTCATACAGCGTGTGATAAAAACCAGAGTCATAGTACTGAGGCTTTTGATTCTGCTATCCCACAATTCAAAATCATTTTTATACTGGAAAATACTTCATGCTTTTAATGCAAAATATATTAAATGATTAACATACTATTGAATATTACACAATGAACATGATGCTTTATGAATCAACTCCAAGAGTCAATTCACTTGTATAGATAAAATTTGTTCATTTCTTCTGATGGATATGGCTACAGGAGAAGATCAGAGTGTGGTGCTAAGTCCCTGAGATCTTCATGTCAATGTCGTCCTCCTCCATCACTCAGTAAATATTTGCCAGCCCTGCCTACGGGCTCAGTACTTTCTTGCTCTCTGAAACCCAAGTCCTTCTCCAGCCCGCTCCCCTCCCTGATCCTGCTAATGATCTCTTCTACCTTAGTTCATCCTGGGCTCCACCCTCCCATCACTTTAGCACCTTCTGTCTTCATCTCTGGCTTGTGTTCAAAGACTCTCTAACAGTGTGCGTGCACCTGAGTGTACCACTGCACACGTATCTGGATACCAGTGGGTGGCACTACAACTCTGCATGCGGGCTGATCACCTGCACATCAGCGGACAGCAAAGTCTTCCCACTGCCTTGGGATGCCCTTTAGCCTCCCCCTGCCTTCTTCTGTAACTTGTCATTTTTATGTCTCAAACAGCCTCTGCATCTTTCTTGTCCTCCTCTGTGCACCCAGAGCATCCCATCATGTCCTTGGTACTACCACAGAACTGTCTCTCTGCTTTGTCTGTCTCCATACTTGGCTGTGAGCTCCTTGAGGGCAGGGTCCAAACCTGACTTGGACTGGACTCCCAGAGCTTAGCCATAGTCTGAGCTCAGGACATGTTCACTGAAAGAATGAGTTAACGAGACTAACACCTATCTGTGCCTTGAGTGTGCTTATTCCTGTGAATTCAGACAGGGCAAGGTATTTATCTGCAAGTGGCTTGTGGCTCCCAGGGGTATTTCTGAACACTAAGGACATGAGGACCTGACTCTAGGTGAAGGCAGCAGTGAGATCAGAGCCAGGGCTATGTGTGTCTAACTCCTTCCCACCTGGGTGCTGGGGTGGGGGCAGGTGTGTGTGTGAGGCATCATGTGTATGCCCTTCACCGCTCCTATCATTCACTAGCCACCTCCTGTGAGACACTGTGAGGGATGCAGACAGGAGTGTAACAAAGGTCCTAACCTCAAGGAACATGCAGTCCTGAAATAAGCTAAAAGCAAAAAACTATGAGAAGAGGGCGACTGTTCAGATCCTCAAAGCAAAGATAAATGGAGGGAAATATAGACACAGTCACGGCCTCTAGTAGGAGAGGAGATGGGATGAGCAGCCTTGAAGAATGGAAAGGTTTAGATATAGGCAAGTGGGAAGGAAAAACATTCCCAGTAGAGGGAAGAGACTGAGGGAAGGCACAGAGAAGGTCCTGCAAACCTGCCAGGTTTGTCTGGGGCATAAGGTACGTGAAAGGGAATGATGACAGCAATGCTGGAAAACCAGGCTGAGAACAGATCAGGGCAGAGGGTGTGGCTTGAATGGCCACCTAACTGGTAACCTGCAGCCCTGGGATCCACTCATGACGGATAAACTGTGTTTTAGATGGATTAACCTATTTGTGACATTATCTGCCTATGGTTCAGTCTCCAGTGAATGCCACAGTGCTATTGGAAAGTCCTAGGGGTTTGTGTCTGTCTGTCTGTCTCTTTCCCACCCTGGCTCTCACACTGGGCTGAGCAAGGCCATCCTCCTTCCCCTTCCTTCCTTGTAAAAAGAAATGTGGGTTCCCTTGCTCTGGGCCGTCTACTCTCACCTTTCCCTTTCTTGCCCAGAGCTGGTAAGGATCCTCGAGGGCTGATCTGGGTGCATCTCTGTTACCTCAGAAGTCAGACAGGGTGAAGACAGCTCATTCACGTCTCCTGGAACGCCTAGAATCCAGGTTCCAGATGTTACAGGCACACGGATGATCAGAGGAGAGAAACAGGCCTGGATACACTAACACCTAACGTTTAAGTGAAATGAAAAGATCACACCAACCTTTTAACTGCTTCCTGATGGGTTTGCTTGATTCAAGCCATCTCTGCTGGGTAAGAAAACATAAGATATAAAACTAAACCATGCAAGAGTTCAGCACATTTTGAAGGGATGGTACTTACAGGAGAGTCTACTGAGTCATCGCCATGTTGCAAACCAAAATACTCCTTTTCTGTCACACCCAGGTGGTTGTATGCCATATCCAGAAGAACCTGACCAGTATCTTGCTTCTAGAAAAAAAAATGATAGAGTGTGGAAAACCTTAAAATGAATTAACCGGTGGTGAAAACATCTTTAGGCAAAACGGACTTAAAATATTCAGAGAGACTACGCACTCACATTTCACACAATAAGAAAAGTCTTTATAAACTTCAAGTTAAGAAGCCACATGAAACATGGGAAGGACGGCTAAAAAAAAAAAAAAAAACTACATAAATATGATGTAAGACAATAGGAATTTAATTTAATTTTCTAAGGTTTCTTCCTTCCCCATAGCTGTGATTCCCAAGTGATGATGTCTAAATGGGAAAACTCAGATGTCACAATTACAGTAAACTCTCTGTGACCTCCCCTTGGATTATCCACAGCAAAATGCTAATCCCAGGTTGGTTCCTGTTGGCTCCTTGGGACATGTCTATGGCTCCTATCCCTGGAGAAGCCACAGAAGTGTGTACAGGGAACGAAAACTCTTGACTCACAGCATAAAGGAAGAAGGCTAAGAATACTCAAATGCCATTTAAAATGCCCTCAAAGTGATTTGGCCTTTGTCACCCTGTGGGATTATCTGCCTTGCTGCTTCTCATCATCTGAAGTGAGAAGCACATGGGGACGTTCAACCACACTGCTCTCCACAGCAGGACGCAGCTGCCGTCCCTGCTCAGTGTTTACGGAGCGGGCAGGGGACACAGCCATAACAAGCGTCCCTTTCCTGCCCTAGCTGTGGAAGCAGTGCCTCTAACACAAATTGTCAAGTGCTGTGAAACGATCAAGACACAGTGGACACCCAAGGAGACAACACCAATGGTCAATTCGACCTGGGCACAAGCGGAAGCAACCCCTGATCTGGGTTTGGGAGAGTGACAGGGATCACCCCTCCCCTCCAGGCACACAGCTGAGAAAAGGCATTTGAAGCAGATGGCCCAGCACAAAGGCACAGGGGTGGCAACCAGCAGGAGTGTTTGGGAAATTGCAAATTCTACTTTAACAGGCAGACTCCTTGGGAATCCTTTGAACCAAACTGTTTAACTTAAGGACAGGATGAGTCAGAAATAGCCCATGTATAGAACAGGCAAAGTAGCTCTTTGAGTGCCTGATGGCAGATAATGTATGTGAAAATAGGTCATGGTTACCAGGATAGGAGAATTAGGTAACTGTCGGGCCCCTCCTGCAGTGACTTCTTTGGGGCAGCCTCATTTTATCTGCTCTGAAGTGGGGGAAAGGGAGACAGGCGCATTTCCTAAACACACCCCCTTTCCAGCCTGAGGGCCCCTGTACCTGCCGCTTCCTCTACCTGGGGCACTTGCCATCACAACAGCATCACATGGGTGTGGAAAGAATGATCCAGTCCACACATTCCAAGTTATGAGATACTCTCCTGATGCACAAAAGAGCTATCTGCTCCCCTTGTTGGAATTATTATTATTTATACATGATTTTATATATTTAATATATATTAACAACTATAATTCATTGAACACCTACACAGAGCCAGACATAACAACACGTGTACCTCTGCATACGATTTCTAATCTTTGCAGCAACTTCTCAAAGTGGTCATCACTATCCCCCTTGCTGATGAACAAACGGAGGGGCTCCATACTTCACACTATTGGCTGATGATGGTCTGACCGCCTGTCTCCGGTCTGTCTGACGCCAAACGCCATGAATTCCTACTACACCACATCTTTCTCCTCTAGAGTGCATAATTCAAACACTCGGGTATCTATTCTGCGTAATTCACTCAATTCTCGAAAGGAATTTAAATATAATAAAAGCTACAATAAATATCCCGGCCTGGCCCCTGCCCCACAAGTGGTCATCTTTGCTGTACCCGGTCACTGATAGCGACTGGCTTGTTCCCTGCGCTGAGAATGACTGATGTCCAAGTCAGCTGTCCTGATGACACCTGCTCCTGGTCATGAGATGGTCTGGTCTAAAGAGTCTGAATGAGACTGTGCAAACCATCCCCACGAACAGAAAATATAAGCTGAGGGATATTCTGTACTGCCACCAGGCCCTCGCATTCCTCAAGTTCAAGGTGAGTCAACTTTGGACCACGCTGCTGGAAGCTTGCGTGGAAGCAGCGTGATGGTAACAATGATGTTCATAACTAAGAATTTCTGGGTGCTCATGGTTTGCCAGTATCTGCTCTAAGCCTTTGCATGATTATCTGTCCCAGTAGGTGCTTGCCTTACCCCGTTCTTACAGAGCTGATCACCCCTCCTCCAGACAACACATTTTTACCCGCGTTTCTCAGACATTTGCTCTTGGTCTCCTCCTGCCTCCCTGGTTGGTCCTTCTCAGTCTCCTTTAGTGCCTGCTCCTCATTGCTCCAACCTTTAAACACTGGGCCTCATTCACATCTTCTGTCTACTCACTTTCCAGGTGATCCTATCCAGTTTCATGGCTTGAAATACCATCTCTACTCTGGTAACATCCACATTTGTATCCTAGCCTGGACCTGTCCCTAGATTACTGACTTCTGGATCTAATACCATTTTTACATAGACGAATAATAGGTATCTCCAGCTCCACAGGTCTAAAACAGAACTGGTTATTTCCACCTCCAAACCTGCTCTTTCCACAGTCCTCCCCATCTCTGTGATCTGCAACTCCATCTTGGTAGTTGCTCCAGCCGAAAAATTTTGAAGTCACCTTAAGGCCTCATTTTTACACATCCCAAATCCCATTTATCAGCAAATACTATTTGGCTCCACCTTCAAAGTATTTCCAGACTTGGTTTCCTCTTATCCACCTCCATATGACCGCCCTAACCAATTATCATCATTGCTCCCCTGGACTGTTACAACAGTCTCTGAGCACTTTCCCTCCCACGATCTACTGTCCACAGAGCATCCAGACTGATACTTGAGCCAGATCATGTCAGGTCTCTGCCCAAACCTACCAATGCTTTCTACCTCACGTAGAAGAAAAACCAGTGCCCTGAGAATGAACTACAAGGCTCTACCTGCTCCCCACCCTGCACCCCAACACCTGCTCTCTCTCTGACCTTGTCTCCCGCTACTCTCCCCTTGCACATTACACTCCAGACTTAACTGGCTTCCATACTGTTCTGCAGCCACACTAAGCAGGCTCCTGCCTCAGAGCCTTTGCACGACTGTTCCCTTTCTCTGGGATGTGTCTCCTCTAGACAACCACAGAGTTCTTTCACTTTATCAGTGAAGCCTTCCTTGATCACATCTGTAAATGGCAGCCCCATCTCTTGTCCTGCTCTGGTACTCTCTCCCCCTTATCCCACTTTACTTTTCTTCAAAGCACTTAATACCACCTGATACAGTATACATTGGTTTACGGTCCATCTCCTCCTACTAGGATGTCAGCTTCAGAAGGGCAGGGATTCTGCTGTTTTGTTCAATACTGTATTCTTTCCACTCAGAACAAAATCTAGCACATGGTAGGTGCTCAGTAAACATTTGTTGAATGAATAATAGAGTATATACTAACAAACATTCGTGTTCTTGTCAGGAAGAAGATAAATGGTTAAAGAATAGTTCCAAGACAGACAAACACAAATTTTAATAAAGGAGACAGACACATATTAAGCTGTCAGTTTATAGCATCTGGAAGAGACATTTGTGATCTTTATACATTTGTGATCTTTAATAACAAGATTCTAAAGAACTTTGTTAGAAAAGAAATTGGATATAAGACAAGATTCTATAGAACCAAAGCAGTTGCTTTTTAAGGGAAATATGTATGAGGAGTCTTCAAAAACTTCATGGAAAAACAGCATGGGATTGGCATATAAACAGACACATGGACCAAAGGAACAAAATAGAGAACCCAGAAATCAACCTGTGTACTTACAGCTGACTGATCTTTGATAGAGGCGCCAATAACATACCTTGGAGAAAGGACAACCTCTTCAGCAAATGGTGTGGGAAAACTGGATATCCACGTGTAGGATAACGAAATTAGACCAATATATCTTGCCATATACCCAAATCAACTCAAAATAGAGTAAAGGCTTAAATAGAAGACCTAAAACTATAAAACTCCTAGAAGAAGACATGGGAAACACTTCAGGATGTAGGACTGGGCAAAAAAAGACTATGAGTAAGACCTCATAAGTATGGGCAACAAAAGAAAATATAAACAAATATATCAAACTAAAAACCTTCTACATAACAAAGGAAACAATCAACAGCATGAAAGACAACCTACAGAATAGGAGAAAATATTTGCAAACTACACATCTGACAAGGGATTAATATCCAGAATATATAAGGAACTCGAACAACTTAACAGTAAAAAACCAAATAATCCCATTAAAAAATGGGCAAAGGAGCTGAATAGACATTTCTCAAAAGATGTACAAATGGCCAATAAGTATATGAAAAAATGCTCAACATCACTAATCATCAGAGAAATACAAATCAAAACCACATTGAGATATCATCTCACCCCAGTGAGACTGGCTATTATCAAAAAGACAGAGAATAATGAATGCTGGTGAGGATGCAGAAAAAGGGGGAACCCTTATACACTGTTGTTGGGACTGTAAATTAGTACAGCCATTATAGAAAACAGTATGGAGCTTCCTCATACAACTGCAGATGGAACTGCCATACATTCCAGCAATCCCACTACTGGGTATATACCCAAAGGAATGGAAATCATCATGTCAAAGGGATACCTGCACTCCCATGTTTATCACAGATCTATTTACAATAGCCAAGATATGGAACCAACCTAAATGTCCATCAATGGACAACTAGACAAGGAAAACATGGTATATATACACAGTGGAATGCTACCGGGCCACAAAAAATAATGAAATTTTGCCTTTCACAGCTCCGTGGATGAGCCTGGAGACTATATTAAGTGAAACAAGCCAGACACAGAAAGAGAAATACCATATGTTCTTACTCATAAGTGGGGGCAGGGGAGAGAGAGACAGACAGACACAACCACAATAAGACGCTGAACTTTCAGAAGGAGAGAATGCAACCGTGGTTACTAGAGGTGGGAAAGGGGGAGGGGGATTAGTGAGAAATTGGTTAATGGACACAATGAATGATCACGTTTTCTAATGATGAACATGCTAAGTATCCTGATTTGATCATCACGCATTGTACACAGGTATTGATATTCAAGTCTGTATCCTGCAAATATGCATAATCAATTATTTTTCAATTAAAAAAAAAGTTCATGGAAAATGTGTATTATGAAAAAACCATATATGGATTTCAAAAATTTCTGCACCCAAATAAACTCATACTAACGTGTTATATCATGCCTGAACAGGATCTAGTTGGAGTCAATAAGTATAAGACATCAGTGTGAAAAGAGACCCTATCAGAGCAACATGAATGCTGCTGAAACCGAAGGAAGAACAAACATCAAAATTGATGGTGAAGCTTGGGTGGAAGAAGAGTGAAATCACTGATGCTTTACTAAAAGTTTATGGGGGCAATGCCCCCAAAGAAATCAGCAGTTTACAAATGGATAACTCCTTCAAAGGGACAAGAAGATGTTGGAGATGAAGCTCGCAGTGGCAGACCATCCGCATCAATTTGCAAAGAAAAGTTAATCTCGTTGGCATCCTGATTGAAGAAGACCGATGGTTAACAGCAGAAACAACAGCCAACACCACAGACATCTCAACTGGTTCAGCTTACACAATTCTGACTGAAAAATTAAAGTTGAGCAAACTTTCTGCTCAATGGGTGCTAAAACTGTTGACCCCAGATTAGCTGCAGACAAGAGCATAGCTTTCAATGGAAATGTCAAACAAGTAGGATCAAGATCCTGAAACATTTCTTTGAAGAATTATAACAGGATATGAAACATGGCTTTGCCAGTATGATCCTGAATACAAAGCACAATCAAAGCCATAGCTGCCAAGTGGTGGAAGTAGTTCAGTCAAAACAGAAGCACACTGGTCAAGAGCAACAGGTCATGGCAACAGTTTTGGGATACTCAGGCATCTTGCTTGTTGATTTTCTGGAGGGCCAAAGAACAGTAACATTTGTTTATTATGAGAGTGTTTTGAGAAAGTTAGCCAAAGCTTTAGCAGAAAAACACCCAGGAAAGCTTCGCCAGTCTTTTTCCACCATGACAATGCTCCTGCTCCTTCCTCTCATACGATGGCAATTTTGTGAGAGTTTTGATGGGATATCATTAGGCATCCACCTCACAGTCCTGATTTGGCTCCATCTGATGTCTTTTTGTTTCCTAATCTTAAAAAATCTTTAAAGGGCAACCATTTTTCTTCAGTTAATAATGTAAAAAAGACTGCACTGACATGGTTAAATTCCCAGGACTTTCAGTGCTTTGGGGATGGACTAAATGGCTGTTGCCATCGCTTACAAAAGTGCCTTGAACTTGATGGAGCTTATGTTGAGAAATAGTTTATATTTTTTTCTTTTTATCTTTTAATTCCATTTCACATGAACTTTTTGAAGTCCCCTCTTATGAACCTGCCAAAAGGCCGCTCAATCTGTAGTTCTCCAAAGTGCAATGCACATCGAGAATGCAGGGGGAGAAGTTCCAGTACCGACTCTCATGCCTTCTCACCCCCAGAATATGTTTCAATACCCAGGTAGGACAAGGGATTGGTATTTTTAACAATGCATCCTAAGAGGTTCCAAAGTATTTTAAGAAATGCTCACTAGGGCTGCACTGACCAAAGTGGGAGCTGTTAAATACAAAAGACTACTTAAATTTTAATTAAGATAAAATAAAAAATTTAGTTCTTCATGTATACCAGCCACATTTCAAGTGATGAGTTGCCACATGTGGATGGTGGCTCACATAATGGATAGTGCAGATATGGAACATTCCCAGCACTGCAGGAAGTTCTTCTGAATAGTCCTCCCTAGAGGATACTCTTCTCTAACCTGGCTTCCTAAGAAACAGGTCACAGGTATATGTTCTATCCCCCCGTCAGACTTGGAGACACCTAACTAGACAATGAAACTCCCTTTCTGGAGTTTTTCCTTCTTACTACATACAGTAACATTTCCTACCTACCAAAGAATGAGGCTCTGACCCTGGGGAATGTCTGGAGGCTTGGGTGGTTGTGGAAGTGCGCAGAAGAGCAGGATAGAAAGTTGGGGAACATCCATCTCTACTGCCCATTTTCACTCTTTGCCAGGTGAGGAGCCCAAATGCCTATAACCTTAGTTGCCTGACTAAGTCCACTGATGGGGAAATGCCCGTGGCCAAGACACTGGGCAGCTGTACCCCAGGTTGGGAAGGTGCTATCGCGCCCACCATGCTAAGACTTCATGTAAACTGCTCCTCCTCTGGCTTGCATCAAGGTCTATAGTGACCTGGGGTCAGCAGGAGGCAAACTTGTGGGTAGGGTGGAAGACCCAGGGGCCAGTTTTTGGTATCCTTTAAATTCCTGTGACCTATCATTATCCCTCAATTGTTCTCTTGTCCCCTGTCTTCCCTTCTGACATATGTCCTTGCACACTGAATTTTACAGGCTGGGGAAGATGTTGGCAGTTGGTTCAGGGTTGGGGTTGACCCCTTTAGGGCTGACCGAAGGATGGGAGGGACAGGCAGAGGTCATGGGCCTAGGTGGTGACTAGGGGGGGCTGGGTAGTATGTGATGCAACTGTTCAAGCATCTTCCCACTGCTGGCCTGGAAGACTAGATACCTCGTTTTCAGCCCTGGCTCTTCCATGGGCTCCCTGAGCACTGCCATTTGCGAGGGTGACCATCTTACTAACCTCACATAGGACCCACCCACTTACACATATAATGAGCATCTGCTTTGTGCCCAACCCTGTGCCAGGCACAGGGGAAACAACATCTTTCCTGTCCTCAAGGAGCTCTTGGTGTAATGGGTGACATATAACCTAATTATTATAACTATTATTAAAAAGGCAATGTGACATGGGCTCTAATAAAGCACGTACAGGGCACCATTATCTGAGAACCAGCTCTGCTTCGAGACATGGATGAGGACTTCCCAGAAGCAGCAACATCTAAGGATTGTACAACTCATGTCACAAAGAGGAGGGGGAAAGACACTCCCTCCAGGTAGAGGCGAAAAGTGGGCAAAGTTCTTGAGTATTTCCAGTCCAGTCTTGACACTCAAGATCTGAGATCTCACGCTTTCATTTTAAAATAAGTTTTTTCTTCATTTCGTAAGCCAAGAGATGCAAACTATTTCTTAGGAGACTTCATTCAGGAAAAAAAAAATGTGGAAAACTTACGTTAACTTTAAAGGTCTGTACCAAGCCATCCAGAAAGCGGATGCTGCAGATGACTTCGGATCGAGTCTTCTCTTTGGGTAGTTCTGAGGTGCGTATATTATTAATTCTTCCACCCAACGCACGTAACCGGGAGGTCATAACTATCGTTGAGTAACCTGCAACATAAGATATACCTGTTAGTGTTTTAATATGCAAATGACCAGTTACTTGTGAAAGCACTTCACAGCTTACCCAGACCCTTCATCCCAGTGAGATCTGATCATCACAATACTGCCTGAGGAACCCATGGATAATGAGAACTAGATAATAAACAATGTTTCCATTTGAGTTCTGACTTCTAAGAAGCTCAAAGCAAAATTTATCGCTCAATTATAACATATTGATAAGGTTACGTGGCTTGTTTCTTTGTGTATCTTAGTATCTCCTTAGTCTAAGCCTTCTAATTTCTATTTCCCAGGCTTTTAAGTTGTCATTTATGTTTTATTATTTTACGTATTTATGTGTTCTACTTCTAATGTTTTACAGATCTAAATGTAGGATAAATATGATTTAAAACAAGAAAAAATGTATTGATAAATTGATATTAAAATTAAGAACTTCTATTCATTCAAAGATACCATTTAGGAGAGCAAAAAGGCAACCCACAGAGTGGGGGAAGATATTTGCAACATATATATACGTATGTTGCATACACACACACACACACACACACACACACACACACACACACACACACACGCAATCACACACAAAGAATATATAAAGTCCCCCTAACGAATCAGTAAGAGAAAAAGAACATGGTGGAAAAATGAGAAGAAAACTGAAACAGGAAGTCAATGACATCAGTTGTCAAAAAAATGCAAATTAAAACCATAAAGTAAGTACCACATACCACCAGAAGGGCTACAATTTAAGACTGACAAAACTGTAGAAGGTGTCTGCACTGCTGGTGAGAACATCAGTTAGTGCAACTACTTTGGAAAACTGTTGAGCAGCATCTACCTGTGTAACAAACATATCAAGTCCATTCCTAGAAATTGTTCCCAACAGAAAAATGTACATTTATTCATGAAAAAAATGTGTATAAGAATCTTCATAATAGTCCCAAACTGAAAAAGACCTAAATGCCCATCAATCACAGACTGGGTAAATTGCGGTAAAGTCATACTATGCACTACTGTACAGCAAAGGAAAGAAATTAACAACTGTTAATGTGCAACGACATTAAAGAATTCCTTTAACATTATGTTGAGCAAAAGAAGCCAGACACAACAGATTACCTACAGCATGATTCCACTCACGTTAAGTTAAAAAAACAGGCAAAACTAATCAATGCCAATAGAAGACAGAACAGTGGTTACCTTGTGTGTAGTAACTGCGAGGGGAACCCAAGGGTCTTCTGGGATGCTTTTCATATTCTGTCTTGATGTGGGAGCTTTTTTTTTTTGTCTTTTTTCGTGTCCGGCAATGGATCGCAACCCTCAGTGTCGCGCCCGTACCGGACCGGGACCGGCAACGGGATCGCAACCCTCGGTGTTGCTCCCACACCTCGCTCAGCCAGTGAGCGGGAACCGGTCTGTATGTGGGATCCGAACCCTCGGCGGGAGCGCCACCGCGCTCCCAAGTGGCGCACTGTTGTTCAGTGCGCCACCGGGCCGGCCCCTTGATGTGGGAGCTTGTGATACTGCTGTACTCACTGTGACAATTCATCAAGCTCTACATTTATGATGTGTGCATTTCTCTGTATGTATGTTATATTTTAATAACAAGTTTACTTAAAAAAAAGAAGTACATTTAGAAAGGGAGTTAGAGAGCACTTTAACATCTGGCCATGGTACTAGGGAAAAGCATGGAAAGTGGCTTTACTAGTAAATTCAGTTGTGCAGTGCAAGGCTAGAGGGTGGAAGGTATATGACTGAGCGCATGATCACATCACGCAGGTGGGAAGGGCAAGGGTCTAAGCCTATACAGAGAATATAGGAAGCACTCCTGCAAACCAAATTCGGCTTAGGGAATAGAAATGTACATCCAACAGTGTTGGGTGAAAGAGCAAATAGAGACGGTCTCAGGAGAAGTAAATGTTCTTTTTAATTCTCTGTAACCTTTTCTGATGAGTGGGCTTATGCATCTGCTTATCCCTTCTGCCTGCAATGCTCTTCCTGCTCCTCTTCATCTCATTAACTCCTATTCTTCCTTGGTGCTCAGCACAAGCATCACTTCCTCAGGGGAGCCTTCCCTGGTCTCCCTAACCAGTCACATATTTGCGTTACAGGCTCTCTTCTGTAGCGCTCATCAGAATTTCACACTTATAACTGATAAGGTGTATTTAATATCTGCTTCTCCCACTAGACGCCAAGTTCCAAGAGGGTGGGAATCAGGTTTGGTTTTGCTCCCTGTTTCTCTAACACCTAGCTCTGGTAGGTGGGCAATAAATATCTGAGTGAATCAATGAATAAGTGGAAGAATGAAACAGGAAATGAAGCCAAGATTTATAGTCTGAAATAGCTGTACAACCTGGTAGACAACCGTGGGTTGGTGGGAGCAGGCAGGAGAGAAGAGTGGAATGAGAGTGAGGGGTCTAATTAGAATGTGGAGTGGAGGTGCCCTGGAGACCAGCGCTTCTCACACTGTAAGGTGCATACAGAGCACTGGGGATCTTGCTGATGAAATGCAGAATCTGATTCAAGTAGGTCTGGGTGGGGCCCAAGAATCTGCACCTCTCCGCCTCCCAAGTGATGCCCAAGCTGCTGATCCAGGGTAGACCCCGTTGGAAGCAAGTCACAGATAACTATAAAAGCAGCACCAAAGATCAGGGCAGGACCACAGATAAAAATTTGGGAATCAGTAGCAAGGGTAGTGACTCAGCTCTCAGAGGGATGAGGACAAAGCAGACTGGCCTGAAAACCAAGCCTCAGGGAACCACAGAGGCACAGGTGCAGGAAGAGAAAACAAAGAAGATGAAAGGTGGGTAGAAAGTACATCCAATAGAAGAAGGGTACACTTGGTCCCTCATCATTGTGTTTAAAGAGCTCCAGGTACATTGCCATTCTTCCGTAAATAGGGACAGGGAATCTCAAATATTAATAAATTCCTGGGACTGGCAGTTCAAGGAAACTTATTCAGTCACTTATAAAATTCCACCCACCCAGCCACCTCCACCTTGCCCTTTCCAATGAAAATGTCATCAGAAGCAGGGATACATTTTCTGAGTAACACAGAAAGTTATCAGAAGACAACAAATGTGTTCCGTAATGCTTTAACCACATAGAACTTAAAAATGTCAAATTTATTTGTTTAGTTCTTGTCTAAGACTCTCAGGCAGGTTACACTTTTTTTTTTTTAAAGATACAATGAACCATTACAAGTGTGGTTTTAGTGGGAGGTGCACAGCACAATCACCTGGGGAGCTTTAAAAAAGTATACCTGTCCTGGCTCCAACCCCAGATGGTGATTTAGCATCCTGGGGTGTGGCACAGGATGACATTCCCTTTAGGAAGTACTCAGAGGGCCAGGCAGTCAAGGGCTAGAACAGCGGATTTTCAAGAAACCTCAGTGTGATGGATGGTCAGACTCAGAAAACAGGCTCTGTGGAATCTGAGCCATTCACTGTGGGGGCACGAGTGAAAAAGTTGGGCCATCATTGTGCAGAGCAGCTAAAACAGAGATAATCACACAATGACCATGGACAGAAAGAACCAACAGTGATTTCAATAAGGAGCGTCCAAATGGAAGTCACATGGGCTGATGCTTCAATTGCAGGCACCGATTTTCAAACTGCTCTACACTTGAGCAGATCCTCATAGCTAGTGCCGGCGTGAGTACCAGTGGGACTTATTAATTTAACCATGGTTAATGATGCTCCTCAGCATAGTCACGCAGTCAGCTGACAAAATAAAGTAGACCAGCAACCCAGAAGAGACAGACTTTCCCTCCTTACTCCCATCTCTGCTTATTACATAAAGGGCCTGGAGCCTAATGACAATACATAAATAGGGATTTTAAGAAAGTTGCAGAAACGTTCTTCCTACAATTGTTCCTAAAGCAAACCTTGATAAGAATGAGTCTGATGCTGAATAACCACATAATTGAGCCATGCGGTGTTTTCAGATTGTCTTGAAATTATATCTTAAACAATCTGGTGGGGACAATGGATGCCGACTAACCGCCCTGGTTTCCTGTACTACAGCAATTGGAGAACTCAGGGTTTCTATGGCTTCCTTTATAAGCCTCTTAATTCAAAACAAAGCCACAACCCAACCAGGAACACACTGGCCTCTTATAACCACAAATAATTACAGCCACAGCTGATGCATTTTACAAAATGGAAGCCAAGCCTATCCTCTGCACAATTTAAAAAGTCAAACAGCTTTAGAATGCTTTGCACGATAGCAACAGAGGTTCTACTGTGAATATAGTTTCTAATCAAAGATTATACTTGGAAAACATACTATGGAAAGAGGCAACGTCTCACTTTGCACACTGTAGGGGTCCATTAAATACTGTGAGAGTTAGAGTTAGCACACGTAAAGTGCCTATGTAACGTGGACATATACTAGGCACTCTATAAAAGGCATTTTAATAATGTTAAGCTTCTAATTCCATCAGGTGCTGACTACAGATTTCAGATTTTGTAGGGCAATCTTGATTTCAAATATCTTGCAGATACATAAATGTTCCATTTCTTAACATTTTATTCATTTTAATAAAGACAGCCTGCTAGAGTTAAAAAGTAGTTGTTTTTATAGATATGTGATATACCTTTGAGCTACTCTGCAAATTCAGTGGTGCAAGAAGCAGGAGCATGTTGGCACATGCCTTGGGCATGTGGACATCGGGGCCCGTGTGGTCAGGGTTGGGTAACAGGGCTTCTACTACAGTCCCTCCCTGACGGCCCTGGAGCCTGAGACAGGGGACAGGTAATGCCGCAGCTTTTTTCCTAAGGGTCTGTCTACGTTCTGATCTGGGGAACTTCGTTCTTTCACAAGCCAATGAGCCACAAACAAAAAGAAGGGAGTGGAGCATACGCAAGTGAGACAGCAAACCCAACTCCATTGTGATTATTTTAAAAGGAAGTGCAAATCTTTTCACACCCTCATTCTTAAAAATAAGGAACTTAGGCCTCTAACTCAAGAATATAAGTTTCAGTTTTTTAAAA